TTCTGGTGGTTGAATCGCAGAAGGATGATCTACAGATTCCTGTAAAAATTTCTTTGGGCAAATGATTGAGTTTTGCAGGACATATGGCCTGCCACTCGTTTGTTGCTTTCTTCAACCGATGTTCCTTCGACAATGGATCGCATGATCTTGCCTATCTTTCCTTGACCCATCCTTTGTGCTTTGTACCAAATGTTGCACTTTGGCTTGTAGTTGATGTAATTTCCGTGCTCAAATATCTGAGCATCTCCAAGTGTAATAGAGACCATTGTTCATTTATCTGCAGCCCAGAAGATAGATATTGAGATTTCAATGTGTAATAATAATGAGAGCATTTATTTGCTTAATAGAAGTTCCATTGTGTATGCTATTGAAAAGCAGAAATCTAAACGAGTTCGTACACTAATTCAAAGAAGAAGAAGAAAAGCTACTGACAAATGTGAAAAATTGCTCACTTCTAATTCAAGTGATAACCTTATTATCAATATCGTATCTTAACTTTATATAACCCTGTCATCTTAATCTTATCCTAACATTGTATACGTTTTACTAGAAAAATGTATAGCCAAATGTCACGCTTAGATGCTGAGTACATCATGCTCTCTTGTAGAAAGCCGTTACATATGTATTAAGAGTGGATGTCTCTAAAAATCAAAGAAAAATAAAAAAATCGCGGACATGGTCAAAAATTCGTTTCGTCCCATTTTTTGTCTACAGGTAGCTATAGGTACTAGCTAAAGTGAAATGAGGTTAGTTTGTGTAAATATTAATTTTGACGGGAATAAACCGTTATGAATTGCATGATCGAAAATGAGTGAGTGCAAGCTTGAAATTATGTAATTTTCAGGCCGACCTTAGATGAACTAAAATGTGACAGCAGGAATTGTCTAGCTACAAATATGTACAGTTGGCCTTCCTTTACCAAGATATACNAGTGAATAGAACTCATTTCATTGTCTTATCGCTGTTAATTGTCATTGTTGTTTGAAAGAAATCTCAGTACTTATAAAATAAACAAATAACTTCATGGTTGGTTCGCTTGTACGATTTTTACTCACTTGTTGTGAAGAATCGCAAATAAAAATCGTACGCACTCACCAACCATGAAGTAATCTATATATACAGTATACAGTTGGCCTTCCTTTACCAAGATATACTGATACTTTTTGTATCGTGTCCTTCCTGATGAAACCACGGGTTAATTACCAGAGGACGTCTTCGCCATTTTTAGTTCACGTCAAACCCGGCCTAATATATTGTGGCAAAAATGCATGTAGTAGTGTCTCAAAATTTCCAGCCATACTATCACCAGGGCTTACAAGGTGGGTCTTAAAATTTGTGGTTTCAGTTTTCTGGTATCTTCTACTGTTTCAATATACCAACCAACCAAACTTCGGTAAAGTCGTAAATGGCGCCATATTGAAATGAACAAAATCAACATTGCAGTGATACAAGCAAAGCATTGTTTGAGTCACAGCCGCACTTAGCTTGTTATGTTTGCTTTGACATCAATAGTTCCCTACCTTAGAAATATTTTATAGACCCTTATTATGCCGCTTGGAAGATACTTTCGAAATACTG